GTCGACAGCAGCAGCTGATGCAGAATTTAAATATAAGAGTTCGGTTGCCATGCTGCTGCTTATTATATATATTCGCCTCTTTTTTGTTTGGCCTTTTTTTTGGCCGTACTGTACTCTATATGCCACATACATTATAAAACTATGTACGACTATAACTCATTCCCATGTGGATGCGTCGCCTTGCTCTCTGTCACAAGTTCACTTAGCTCCCGAGTTCAATGCAAGCCAAACTAGTTTTGTTGTCATTTGTTGTGTTTCTCTCGAGGCGGCAAGCACGTGCTGCTTCTTCTCGTCTTTCAAACAATGCAATTGGAAACCTGTCCATTAACTTAAAAGCCACATGTGATAAATGAAATCGTTTAGCCAAGACACGACACAAATTCATGGCATTTACACGGAGAAAAGAATACTTTATAAGGATATTAAGTGGAGACATTTTAAAATGTATAAATGTTATGAAGGCAACCAAAAACTAGTCCAAAAAGTTTTGAAAAAATCAAACGATTTGTCTTGAAAAATATCAAATCTTCACCCTGCACTTAAATTGTAGGGTTTTTTTTGGTAAGTGTGCTTGTGCCACTACCAACTTACTCGTACATGGCATCCACAAGATCGCGCTCCCAGGTCATCAGACGCTTCATTATGGCCAAAAGGAATTTCGTGGTGTTACAATTGGGACTTTACACTGGCAGTCGAGGCACGCGCTGCTGCGTTGTATAACGCTATGTAAATTTGCTGTTTCTGCGCCGATTTGGGGCTCTCTGTTTTGTTTTTATGCGATGGCAACTGAAATGTAACGGCAGCAGCGACGTCGGCAGAAATGTTGAGTTGACAGCTCCTCCACACGATGAGTGCAACAAAAACAAAAGTTCGCGGCAACCTTGGCTACAGTTGTTGTTGGTAATATTATTTATATTTTTGTAGTTGCTTTATTACAATTATAATGATTGAAAAAAACAAAAGATTCGAGCACTTTTCAGATTAACTTAATACTGATGAGGGTCCGGATGACGTTATCGTTGGATAAACGCGTGTGTTTCTCTGTGTACTGTGAGGCAGGTTTCGGTTTTGGTTTTTGTTTTTGCGAACTTTTTTATGTATTTTCGATATTTATGGTGTTATTATTCTCGCTTCCCTTCTGAATTTTTGTGTGGCTCTTTATCACAAATGCGTTCTTTTTGTGGTGGGAAAGGCAAAAATGGTTTTTATTTTGAAATAAACAAAGGCGCGCATAATTTTTTTATACCAAAACGCAGCAGCGTGCGGTTACAGTTATTTCCGAGTTAAATGTTACACTTTGCGACCAAAACGGTTAACGGTATACAACACAGAACTGTTTTTAACGGTGTCTTTTCTGCCAATGGGCAAACTGTGGCACGAAATGCGTTTTATGTAGCTCTCTTTTCCGCTCTTCGAGGTGATCTTGCAACGAGAGAGTGAGAGAGAAGCCGCAAGGGAGCGGGCTACAAACGGGCGAGAGCGAGAGCGCGGCGCAGGTGTATAACTTTCTGCGAAGACGGCTAAACTCAAACTGAAACGTTCGGTTGACAGCTTTGTTGCTTTTTATTATTTTGAGTTTAAAGTGGAAGACGCGATAGCAGCAACGCGGCAGCAGCGACGCAAAAGCAGAGGCAGAAAAAAGCAAAGCAAACACAGTGTGACAACAGCGTGTTGCTAAAATCACACATACGCCCGGCTGGCAAACACTCTCAAGCATGAAATACAACAGCTGATAAATTCAGCTCATTTCTTTTGTTGCGAGAGATTAACGGAAGGAATGTACCAGAGAGGGATAATGAAGGCAGAAGGCTCTCTCCTGCTTGCACTGAAAAAACGGCACTTTGCTTTAAATTTAGTTACGAACAATGTTAAATAAAATTGAAATTCATATTTTCATATGAAATTTATCATAACACTATTAAGGGGATAAATACTAGTTTGAAATTGTGCAAAAGAATTAATAAGATGAAATTTTAATACAATGATTTTTATTTTCTCTGTGCATTATTTTTAATTCGCCCTTAAATCAAGCAATTAACGCCCCGAATTCGCCGGAGGTCCATAAACAGTTACATCGTCTGACAGTCGATCGTTTTAATAAATCGCCAGAGACAAAAGACCCATTAAGAAAATATTCATAAGTCGGAAACTGGAGGGGAACCGTTTACCCGAGTGACAATCAAGTTTTAAGATTTTCGCCAATTAACGCGCATAAAACTCAATTTATAACTGCAGTTTCATTAGTGCCATAAATGCCAACATGTGTGTAAATATTTAAGCATACCAGTAAATGTATACGTATATCCACGCGTATATAAATATATACTTACTAGCCACGATATGCGATAATCAATTCGGGCACGTCTGCTTATTCAATCACGATTCGTTAAGTGATTAGCGGGCCTTTGGAAGAGACTTTGTATCTCTTGGCGCGAAAATAGATTCCATGGTGCATGTGACTCCTGACAATCATCCCCTAAAAAAGTTACGTTTGCATTTCGACAAATTTATAGCCGTCTCTCGATCGCCCTGATACTTGATATCAGCGGTACGACTTTGCACACGACCAACTTCAAGTCATTCTATTTCTAGAATGACTCTGTAATCAGCTGATGGACTCGCAAAAGTCATTGGCAGGATCAAACCATCAAGAACATTTTAGGTCTCTTTACCGAAGTCTTTAGATCCTATAATACCTCAAGTTGTAACACTATCACATGTTGAACAAGTCAAAAGAGATTGATCAATCAATCAATTATTCTTTTCCATTTATTTGCGTTTTAAAAAATCAGTACCAGTTGTACATTGGGTTTAAGTTTTGAATGGATTTTTCCACTTCACAACATATATATTGATGGAATTGATAACTGTAATGGTAAAGATTATTTGCCTTTCTTAGACTTTGCGATTGTTAAATGCACGTGATAATTCGAAGTGGCCACCATTCAAGGAAACTCTAAAAAATCACATGATAGACTAGGGTTTTAACTTTGTGACTTACAAAAGGAATTACTTATTCATTTTCACAAATAAATTTTATTTACTTTTCGTAGTAATTGGATTTTTTTCAACTCAATTCAAGAATAATATTTGTGAGTTGCTATTGCAGTGTGATTTATAAATAGTGAATTACGGTGGGTCACAACTCTTAAATGTTAAGAGGCGCAGACCTTTTGTAAATGTTAAAATTTACAACTGCTAGTAAACCGATTAAATAATTGCAGCTCTCTCCCTAGATCAATTTACAACGCTTGGGCGATAATTGCTCGCTCGGATCTTGCCCAACCCGCTTCCAAGCGGTCACAATCAACAGGTCGTTGATTATCGAATGAATCTATCATAATAAAAATAATTAATTTCGCTGAATCGTGAAGCATCGGCAATAGAAGCTCGGACAGGCTCGAGTGGCGCACGATTGCCGACCGCTCAAATATTGGCCAAATCAATTGTCGGCGGAAATGAGGCAAATATCAATCATACGCACCGTGCGCCGCAGACAAAGATTGCGCTCATCGGAAGAAAGTGTGTCGAATCCGGCGAAAGGCATAAATAACACCATCGAAAGCACTCAAAGCTATTTATAGAAGGTTCCGAAACAAAGAGACAAGCATAATTCTCGGTATCCACATAGGAAATCCCCACGATTTCTGGCATTCTGGCGATCGGCCAATTGAAATGAGTGTGTGAGCAACAGCAGCCGGCTGAGCGGTTAACACGTTTTCAATTAACTTAAGAGCAAGAGAATTGGTGGACTGCCGAAACCGAAATCGAGATCTCGAGGCTCCGAGGCGCATTATGCAAATTTATGTCAAGGCAGGGGCAGGTGCAAGTCGTTGACTCGCGTTCACTGGGAGAACGTTCTCGGTAAACAGATTGGAGTTGCCGCGGCATTAGTGCCGCGTAATCAGACATGCGTAATGTCAGGGGCGTTCGTTTGGGCACGAGTTCTATCTACAAACAGCCGCAGAAACCGCGATTCTAATCCCAATTAAGGCAGCCAGCATCTGTATCTGTATCTGTATCTGTAACACATGCTGAGCTGAAAGCAACAGGCGGAAATAATATTTAATTGTCCACCCACTAACGGCGCTCAAATCAAAATAATTCAATTTTGTCATTTCAGGCAATCAAGTCAAAAGGTTTATCTCGCTCTAGTGACTCGATTCTCGGTTCTCAGTTCTTAGTTCTCCATTCTCAACTGACCAACAGACGTCACCTCCATTTGCATATCAAAATAACGTACAAGTCGCAGCTATCAATGGACGGGTACACGTTCGGCAAAAAAGCCATAAGAAAAAACCCCACAAAACCATGTCAGAGGGAAGTGCACCGAATGCTGTTTGTTTACCTACATTGCATTTGGAATCGAGATGTGTGGGCTCGGATTAAGTGAATATATATAAGTGTTGTGCACTTGCACGACTGCAAGTTCTTGGAAACTTCCACAAAATTCATAGATTTTATATCTTTTTTCTATGAATAACAAACATCCATATTTCAGCTTACAAGTTTACTTATTTTGAGCGGAACTATGTTCTTGCATCATTGAGAACTTCAGAGGAAATGTAACACAAATCATTATAAGAAATGCGGAGGCTATATAAGAACTTATCAACAAATTCGCAGAAGTGTTTTTTTCAGTTAAATTATTATAACTTTAATCATGAACTTGGTAAAACGAATATTGTTTTATAGTATAAAAGAAAGGCAAGTTAGCGTATTTCCAGTTCACAAAACCTGCTGAATTAACAAGAAAATTCCAATGCTTAGTCTGTTCGCTAATATAGTTGGGCAAAAAAAAGTGTAAGGCCAATATTGATTTAAAAATAGAAAAAAAAACAATAGTCTGGTGTCACTGTTTTAGTTTTTAGCTAACAAGAGTAAATATGAAAGATACTCCCTTGTCTTCTAACAATTCCTCGAACAACAGGTCGTATGAGTAATGGAATATCACTCATACGCCAAGTTGGTCAAGGCATAAGAGATCTTATCTCACTCACCTGGTTAGTGGGCCGGGAGATTCGCTAACGGCTTTAATGGATCGCCGTATTTGTCTGTGGAAGCTGCCCAATATGGACTCCTTGCGGGAAAGCTGCGTTCCACTTCCGCTCGACTCGCCTCCCGTGGAATTAATATTGGAAGCATAGGTGGCGGTGCGTTTGTAGGTCTCTTCCAGACACGCCGCTCCCTGCTCGCCTGCAATCCCAGGATTGGAGGCCGCCACCAGTTGATCCACATTCAGGGGCGTGGTGTCCTTAGAGTCGTTATTGTTGCTACTGCTGTTCATCTTGACTATAACCGGCTTATCCTTCTCCTCGGGCAACAGTTTCGCCCAGGCATTCTCGCCCACCAGTTCCGATTTATCCACTATCATTTTTGGCATTGACTAGTTACGGCTAATAGTTTAATTTATATGTCTGCACTGCGATATCTTTGGTATATATCTCGATAATTCGCCAACGAATGGGGGTGGGAGTAACTGTTATAAGGGAAAATTGGAATAGCTGTTCAGGGCGCGTTTCTTTTGGAGTCTGGAGCCGTGAGAGCCAATCATCGATAGTTCTTTGCTGGCAGCCAGGATGTTCTCTGCAACCAAATCGAAACACGAATGCGGATTAGACCTCATGTTTTATTTATATATTGGTTTCAAACATCTGGATGCAATCCTAGACAGTGTCACACCGCCCACATCTCATTATTAAATTTACACTTTTCAGCGTTTTCATTTCGCTTCCCGCCTTAAAACATTTTAACACATTTAACAAAGTCCTAAAGTTGGTTTCGTTTTGTGGTTAGAAAATTCGTGAATTTTACTTTGAAAACTGCGGTTTCAGTTTATTACCGTTATTAACAACCCGCTGAAGGGGTGCTCAACTCGTCTGGGACCAACTGGCGATATTACTATTATTCTATCATATATTAGTAAAATTAGACACAGCTATGCTATATTCCGTTGATTTAGCAGTTAAAAAAATATACCGAAGGTTTCCTGTTTTCAATGGAAGATTTTCTGTCAGCTCCCAAATACATTTTATGGGTATGCTATGTTGGGTACAATTTAAATATAAAATTGGAAAAACATAATAGGTTGTCGGACATTTTAAACATAAATATTGAATTGTATTGTCAGTGCAAAATAATTCCAGATAAAAAAAAAAAAAAATAATATTTTCTTAAAAATGTAACACTTTTAAAAACAAATTTGAAATGATTTGTGACCCACTCGAAATTAATCAGCATACAAAATGGTATTTTCAATTTTATTGTTTCTAAGCACTTGCAATTTCTGACTCACTGAATTCAAATTTCACACAATTTAAAGGCGTTTGTCTTTGAATTTCGCACTGAGGTTCCTGCTGTTTTGATCAGATTTCCCTACTGCGCTCTTTTAATACTTAAACAATTTTAGCTTGCAACATTTTGAAACAAAATAAATATTTATAAATTGTACTATCTCGTATTGTTTATAAAGTTCCATCCAAGTGAGATGGCGACAGCGCTTATGCTCATAAAAAGTATGAGCGATAATTTGTTGTATGTTTTTGTTGGAATATTTCCATAATTTCATATTTCAGCGCTAAGCTTTTTTTTTGTATGCAAATTAAATGCCGTCAACATTTTATTTTGGGGTTCTCTCGGCTGAGGTGCGAGAGACCATAAACGGGAAACACGTAAAATAATAACAATAACAACCAACCGTTTTCACTCGAGAGTTTCCCCAGAAATTTGGATTTTTATTATATTTTAAAACTAGAGCACACCGAGTTTTGTGTTCCACTGTATTTGGTTAATCTTCGCAAATAATTTTTGTTATCAGCGTAATGCCCGCGACTTTCGTTCGAAACCTCGGAATTTTCGAACAGCCAACCGCGAACCGCGCGATTTTCGAAGTGAACCTGCTATGGAGGAGACGAGTTGGAGACTGGCGATTTATTTTGGTTTGGATTTCGGACTTTTTCGCTTTTGCTGCTCTGCTCGCGCACGCACGCGCAAAACGTGGGAATAAAAGTGCGACAGGTGGGGGTGGTTGGTAACTGAAGAAGAGCTATTACCGTTTGTTTTTATTTAAATATTTTGTTGTTATTTTCCTTTTTTTTTGCGCCACCGTTGTGAACGAGCGGCGTTCGCAAATTGACTTGGCACTCGAGTGCGCGTTGCCTGTTTTATTATCCAAAAGCGAGCAGCCACAACAGACGCCGCAGCAGCAGTAGCCGCAGCAGCAGCAGCCGCAGCAGCAACAACAACTACAGCAAGCGCGACCGGTAGCGTCATCTAGCACACACATTTTGCCTTTTTTTTATCGAGTTGGCCAAACGAGGCGTCGCTGCTGCGTCGGCGTTTTGCTTCGGACTCCCTCGTTTGTTTTTGTTGCTGCTCTGCTTTGTTTTGCTTTTGCCTTGCTTTGCTTTACAGCATTGCCAAATCTGTCATAAGGTCGCCGGCAGCGCTGCCGCTGCTCTGCTGACTAACAGATGTTGGCGCCATGTGATTGCCGGCAGAAGTTCCACAGAGAAAGCGGCGAGGGAGAGGAAGGAGAGAAGTGGGGCCGAGAGCGGGAGAGGAGATAGGAGAGGGACAAAGAGCGTAACAGGTGGCTAGTCCTTTAAAGCATATTAAAGAGAATTAAAAATGTCTGCCTGCAGGAAGTGCGCAAATGGAGATTCTTATCAAATTCAGGGGCGTAAGCAGGGTTTTTTTAAAAGGGTGTAATTGTTCATTTTAATATGTATGCCGTGTTCACCAAAAGGATATTTATAAAATAAATTCAACCCCTTTTTATCCCACCACTGATGGCTGCCCATCAATCAAAAGTCCGAGTAGTAAATTGACAGCTATGGTTTCCACAACGTTAACCCCCCACAGAAATGTTCTTCGTGATATATGGCCCAATGATAAAGCAACGTTAGTTGATAGTGTCGCACACAATTTGCATCATAAATCTCTCACTTTTGTCAGCTGCTCCTCTTTCTCTTTCACTGAATTTCCCCCTTCTTCTGTAAGAAAAAGGAAAATTCATTTAGTTAGTAGAAATTCTAGCTAGTTTGCTGTTAAATTTGATAAATATCACTTTTGTTCAGGCCTATTGTTTCTTTCCCCAAATTAAATGACTAATGTAAGTATAAGATATTGCATTTTCCTGTAAACAACGCTTGTGCTGTAGGTTTTTCCCGCTATTTTCGTTGTTGCTCAAGTTTGAGCATCTGTATCTGTAGTCTGTTGCCGCCTTTTACACCTGTGCAATTGTGCTCCCCGCAGAGCAAATGCAAACACAATCAGTGCAAAGTGCAAGGTGTCACATGCCCACAATAGCCACGTTTGAATAGAAATGGAAATAGCCAGTGATTCATTGTGTATTCACTCTGCCCAACAACCCAAAAGCAAAGTGCTGCCTGTAACGCGGCCATTACGGTAAATGGGTAATTGAATAGGTGTCCCGAGAATCACGTTTGCAATTTCGGAAGAATTGAAAATATAATAAGTTGGCGGTGCCTAATTTAAGCCCATAGAATAGCACCCAGCATCCCTATAGTATTTGATTTACGACCAATTTCGGTTAATCGCGCTTATACAGCACGTGGCACAAAGATCATTAACTGTTTGCGGTAAACAAAATGGAAGATTTAAAAACAAATTGCGAGTTAAACAGAATAATTATTTTCCGTTATGCCAAGTGCAACTAAACGCAACACTTTGGCTAATATGTATTATGAAATATTGCAAATTATTTTTCTGTTTAATATAATTTACTCTCTTTAAATCTTAGGAATTTAGTTTTTAAATGTTTTCTTAATGTTTAAACTGTAAATTACTTCTATCCAAATTACACAATTTGTTGAATACGCAAACGAAACTAATTGCACTTCTGACGTCAATGGTCTGATATATTTAACCCGAATTTTCAATGCACATTTATGTACGAAAATGAATCCCACACACTAAATTACACACACTATTTATTTGTCGGCATGCCACTGAAACTGCTCAGTCTAAAATCTGACACATTGCGTTGAAACAATGCTCAATTGTGTAAGATATAAATCTTGTTCCATAACTGCGAAGAAAGGGAACGCGTTTAGTGCCGGAAAATCAGTAACTCATGTGCATGTGTGGGATGCCAAAGAACACGAACCAGTTTCAAGTGCTCCAATTAGGTATTTCAGCTCAGGGCTTGACTCCCCCAAGACCACTTCCATTTGCTAGCTTGTGACATGTGCTGAAGTGATGAATTAAATGTATACACAGCAAATTAAAAAGTCTAAAAACCGTAAAACCTAAGAAAACCAAAATATAATTAGCTCATCTTTAAGAGAGAATCATAAACTTGCTGTAAGGTTTCAAATATTTCTAAGATTTATTTCTTGTTTATAACTGATTTATTTATTTTTATAACGATGTGGAAAAGCTTTTGTTATTTGAATATAATGTTTTATTGCTTTTGCCCAAATATTTCCCACAGTGTTATTATTTTGATAGAATCGTACAGACAACCTGAAGGGTTTCGAAACTCGTGCATCCTCTTATTTATCAAGGTCGTGATTAAAGGGCGGAGAAATTCATGAGCTGTTGTTTTGGGGAAATGCTGCTGAGCGAAGCCATCAGCTCGATTGAATTATTTGCATGGGCAGGGACAGACACACGTGGCTGCCACACGTGGCAGTGCTTCACGGTAATGTAAGCTCCCTCAATGGGGCATGCATAAGTGCCCCACCCCTTCCCTTCCCTTCCCCCTCCTCCCTTCCCCATTTGCGTCCTTCGACTTTAAAGTAATCCCCTGGCACGAGCATCACAATTGCCGTTTCTTGAGTTCTATAATTTCGTTTTAATGGCCAAAGTGTTGCATACTTTCGACGACCTAGTTGCGAGGACTTCTTGTGGCTATTTTAAGCCAACTTGCAGGTGAATTCGGGCCTTGGCTAACAAGCGCCAGTGGCCAATAAATAAGTACGGGCACGTACAGCGGATCTGCTTGATTAAGGGGAATGGAAAGGGGGTTTCACCTGAAAGTCCTGCTCAGCCAACGCATGTCAATGTCATTGCGTGCCAAGCGTGGCAAAGAATGGGGAGAGGGGTGGGGGAGAGGGGTCAGGGGTCAGCCTGCTGACGTCCTTCGATGACCTCTGGCCGGCCATTGAACTCAGTGTTGCATGACACGGTGCACCACAAAAGTGGGCCACCCAACCGCCATTTGCATGCCAACCTGGCCAGAAGTGACCTAGGATGCGTTCGGAACCCCAAAAGGAAAGCCTTCTGCACTCGAAACGTGCCGCAGCTGCAAGGAGAGCACACAAGGCCCGGCCAGGAATAAATAAATGTATATAAATAGCATTCACTCATTGAAGACATCCTCCATGCTCAAGAGCACAAAGATTTACTGGCCAAATAAAAGCCAGAGCCATCAAAATTAATGGCAAGGAAGAATTCGTGAGGAATTTGTGCGGGGAAGTATAAATCAGCAGGGAAAAATGTTTCGTGACCGATTTAGAAAAATATTTTATAAAGTATATTTATAATATTTCATAAATTCGTTTGCATTTTCAGAGATTTTTTATAAGTAAAGTTTCGCCATCAAGTAGGCAATACTTATTGAAATATAGTTCTTGATTTCATTGAATCATTTCACATTGTTTTCCCTTACTTCAAAGGTAAATAAATTTCTTCCCTAAACATTGTAACAGCACTAAGTGTATTTAGTGCATATATAATAACGCTTTTGTCAGATAACATTTCTGGAAAGTATAGGCGAAGGAACGTGTGCGATTACAATTAATCTGTAAGATACTTTAGTCTATTACCCTTGATTAGTGCAAGTAATACTCGACTCTCAAGTTTTTCCCATTGATACTAGCTGATATTGTGTGACGTGAATGGCGGTCTTATAAGTTGACAAACCTTCCCTAATTAGTTGCCAATGGGCACCAGTCTAATCCAAAGTTATCTGGAGTGTGCAATTTCGCCTTGTGACTTAGCGGTCACTTTAATGTTAATGAGTCGTCAAGTTGGGGCATCAAGATCTTATGCCGGTTTTAAGATGGTAAATATGCAATAATCTTCCATTTATGATTATTTCACCGAAGCTTAATTACGAATTCTGCTTAAAATACCTGGGGTAAACTCAGGAAATGCTCGAAAGGATTATGACATCGACTGTGTTTGGCTTTTGGCCAACTGTCGTAAGGAATCTGGAGACACCTGATGACTTTGTTGTCACGTTGGTCAACAAAGCTATTCATAAATTCTGACTCGCGACCGTCGTGGGATTTCTAGCTGTCACAGTATCTTAAAATGTATCTGTATCTGTATCTGGAGCAGTATCTACCTGGTTCCGAATCTGGAAATTCGCCGGCGCATGACTTCTGTTGGCTCAGCGCGAGTTTTCGCTGACGGATCTTCGCGCAAATATTAGCAACAAGTGCAAGTTAAAATATACGACAGTTGACATGGACTTATCTTTTCAGCAGGGGTTCCAGAAGGAAAGGCTATAGTTTATTCTAGTGGGGAACACCTGACCATTACCAGGTTTTGGATAAGCTTGATTTGTTTGCGAAGGTCTAGACCAAAGACTGCGACAGTGTAACCTGGTGGATAAATGTTTTATCTGAAAGGGGCTTCTATTAGCTGGTAAATCTGTCAGAAAAGAGGCATTAATCAAATATTATAACCTAAACATAACCAGACATCTATAAAAGTATAATATCAACACATGTTGTTAAACAACTTGATGTGTTTATACTATAAATATGTGAGGAGTACTCTACAATCATAAAAAGAGATGTAAAGTATTGTTTATTAATAGGCTCTTACTCACTCTTTAACTGCCTTAAAACCACTTTTCTTATCTTTCCACGTAAGATGATTTTCTTTTGACCGAACTAATCTTTAATTTCAAGTTACTAGCTTCTCCTCGTTTGTTGCCATATTTAATTAAGATAGTTTCCTTTATTTATAGCTGTATTATATACTGTGCTCAGCTGTCTGAACCCGGAGGCATTTCCTATTATCTTGCCGAGCTCATTAACACAGCCATCAAAAGAGCCATCCTGTTGTTTTACGGCCCATTTTGACCCCGGACGGAGAACAATGGCAATCAAAGTGGGGACAGGCAATCATCCATCACATGTCACCGAAGTTATTTCGGGCTTGTCTGTTGACTATTTGCTATTTGGTGAAGAAAAGCGAGGGATTTTCGAGGGTCAGGAGCAAAGGTCAGCCGATAGTTTAGAGGCGCATTCGGTTCAAAGTTGAGCGCTCCCCGAGTGGCAATAAATTTATGCTGATTGCCCGAATTTGATGTAACCGACCTGCCGCAACATCCGAAGGATACACCGAAGGATCCATGTAAATCCCCTGAGAGAGAGCGATAAACTCTCCACGAGTCCTTGACCGTCGCTCTTGGTTGATGGATGTGGATTCCGAATGGGATTTTAAATCCCCCAGCCAAACAATTCCCTTGTATGCAAATCGGCTAATGGTTAATGGAGCACCAACAACTGAATTACTCTATCAACAGTGTGCACAGCATTCGAAGATACTTTCGTGGAAGAGTCCCTCAGCTGGACTTTTAATTGTAAATCGATGGCCAATAAAGGCAGGCGGCCCTACTGCATTTTCCTGCACTTTTCTTTTGTGCCTTCAAGGGGGAAAACTTTCCGCTGCACTCAAAGGAAACCAATAAAACTTGGTCAACTCTCAAGTGACGGTCAACGTGTTTGTCAAGGTTACTCAGAGTCCTGTGGCTCCTCGAAGCAAGGAAAGGGGGGAAACTGAATTCAAGGTCAGGCGGATGGTGGGTGGATGGTTTGCCATGGAGGCGAGCAAACAAAAGGACGCCAATGGGAAGCGGATGCCCAGACAGGGCAATTACCATAATTGCCATCCACATATGCATACTATATACTATATATGCATACTCGTAGATGCACATACAAGTTGCATGGATGAGTAGAGTTGCGCCTCGGTTCAAGGACACCCTTCGAATTGAACCGGAAGGATATGGGCATCGGATTCCCCGGCGGGAGTTGAATGGCAAATAGTTTCGCCATTAGCTGTCGTGCAATTTGCATGGCCAGCATCCCACTCTAATGAGCTATTCGATCCCACATACCAACCCACTTGTCAACCTGTCGAATGGCGTTTGGGATATTGACCCGGTTCATTATACGAACTTGGCATAATTCTCATTATTTTTTTTTTTTTTTTCACGCCTTTCCCGCTGCTCGCAGCTGTTGGCCATTTGGATGGGAGCCAGTTCGCTGGCAGACCATAAAGTACGGCTAAAAGAAGAGCTGAATAGGCTATTTTAGGATGCCGATCTGGCCCTTGGCAACGCTACCAAAACAAACCGATCGGATAACCATTAAAATAACCAAAAAATACAATTATGGCGTGCTACTTATCGCTAAAAAATATATTTATAGAATTCAAAATAGGCTCAATCGGATAAGACTGATAATAACGGTAAGGTTAAAGATTGCTATGATTCACTGCAAAATATATCCACTCTGTTATTTATTTTTCCCTTTCTTTATGTTTAGTCTGCCTTTCATTTAAATCAATGGGCCAACTTGGCGTATGAGTAATATTTAAAGAAGGATAGATAAGATTATAAATTTAAAACGGAGCTAACGTCAAAGCTGTATGGTAATCTAGGCTAATCTATGTGCCCATTAATTGTTTGTATGCCTCAAATGTTATTTTAATGAATAACTGAGTTATAAGTGGAAATTAAAGGAAGTTGATACTTGAAGAAAAAATACCATTTCTTTCTAGAATCTAAAAATACATATTTTTTTTTACTCATCTCCTAAAATAGACCTTATATCAAACTAAAATAATTCATGTAGATTAACAATGCAGTCCGTAATGACAAGGCAAATTTCGACAACTGATTTGCAATATTCTTTATTTTTAAACCGAATTCATTTATGATTTTCCAGGGGAAACTACCGTTCCCCTCGGAGTCAGCTGACCCAGAAATAATCTTTGGCTGTAAATCGAGGGCGCGGTCTTCGACTCAAGTGGTGGCTATAAAAATCACGACGTTGATTTGAAATGTTTATCGGTCAGGTAGAAGTTGGTAGGCCCGCCCCGATCGACTGTACTCTGCTCTCCCGGACTCCTCCTTCTGGTTAATTACACCTATCTAATCTGCAGAGGCTCTTTTCTGGCTACTGGGTGGTTAAGTCAAGACTAATTACTATATAGTCGTGTCGCCCGGTCATGCGACCAGATATTTCTGCCTCGCGCTGCTGCAATCTTTATGCCCTGCTAAAATTGGATGTTTGCTGATTCCTTAATGCCTTATATGACATGGCTTTTGCGTTGTTTTTCTATGTTAAGTTATGTGGGAAATTCTGAATTTTTTTGGGTAGAAATATTTTTAGAAAATTTGCTTTCTTTTCCATATTTTACATGCACAGCTTAATACATATAATAAATTTCTTATCAATGAATTTAGTTTCAAATTATTTTGATTCAAGAGGTTTGATTTGGTGACATTTTCAATTAGGTGTTTTAAAAATCCTCACAGTAGTCCTTGCCTTAACTATCCCAGTTAAAATCAGATCAAAATGTTTACCAAGCTACGCAAGTTTTATTCTGCAAATAATGCAGTTAGGCCCGCAGAAGAGCCATACTGCTCGAAGGACTTGGCGAGTTTGGAAAAGGACGCCAATGTCAAGGTTAGCAGACAAAATATAAGTCTATTTATTGTTTCCAAGCCCCACAAATTTCCCTTCAGAAAAGAAGAGCCGAGAATGTTCTCAACCGAATGCAGCAGCTGCTTTTATTTCTGGGAATCATAATCTTTTGCCCCGTGATGATTTTCTGCGCCTTCAAGTTTTTTGTAATGGAGCCGATTTATGGGAAGGGTGATACCAACGTGGCAATTGGATCTTCAGTGGCCACAATTATTGTGATGCACGTCATAATAACAGCGTATATTCTGCGCCTCATTTTCGTGCAGGAGTTTTCCCGAATGGAAAAACTGGAGGTGTGGGCCGAGTGGGAAATCCTAGTTCCACCGCCCACCCAAATGCACGGACCCGTGTTTATTGTCCTGCTGCTGATGTTCTACTGCTTCTTGATCATTGGATTCCCCATAGCCACCTTTTTTGCCCTCAAGTTTGTGGTTCTGAAGAGTTTCGCGCACATCGATGCCGACATTATCTCCGCCATTTGTACAGTAGTTGCCGTGCATGCAGGAGTTGGCTTCTATATTTACCGGGCCATTTATACAAAGAGCGCCACCGCTAAAAACAATCGGGAAAGCGGAAAGGTGTTCTTGTAATTTGCCTAACTAAATAATATCTATAAATGTAATTGCATTTGCATAATGAATAAAATATTATGCTTTTTATATTATAACTGATTTTAAAATACAATTGAATATAATTCCGCACCCAATAATGTTTTCAGATTATCTCAAAAACTTCCTGGATTCATCATGAGCATGGGAAATCTATTTTCCCCTTCGCTTTCGAGGAAATGTTCTCGGCCAATGCGAAAAATACAACCCACGCAATGATTTGTGTTTTGGTTGAAATCTGTACAAGTTGGAAACGCATTTCAGCTGTCAGTTGTCCATCCGATAATGTGGACTCCTTGACAGACAAATGTCCATAGATATCAGCAGGGGACAAAGAATGAGAACAGTCTAAGACTTTCCACATGGAAAGTTTACTGGAATGACGAGCCATTGACAAGACAACTGCCAGAATTAAACTGTATAACGTGATCTTATTTATTGCCCATATCGGCTGACTTCTGTCAAAGGCCTTAACTTTGTCTATAATATTTTTGACTGACTAAAATGCTCTAGAAAAGTAACAGGTGGCACTCGTGACTTAAGCGTTTGCCATTGACCTAAAAATCGGTAATTCCAAAACTTACCGAAAGTATTTGACCCAGAAATTTAAATTTAGAAAAGAAACATCTGCTCAGAACAAATATTACGATATCAAAGATTGTAACATTTAAAAAAAAACAAAACAATATTATCCCAGTTTTGGCTAAACAACTTGTTCATCACGCAAAAATCACATTGTTATTTTAAATATCTAAGTGAATTGCCTCACATTTTTCTTACCATTGTGTTTCCCTGCTGCCTTAAAACTCGGAATCACTTTTGATCATTTGTGACACTTTCAATTTCATATGCCAGCCGGAATTAGAACAGTTTGATGATAACCGAACACGAGGATTTTTCTTTGTCCGCATTGACACCCCTGTTATGAGCAATTAAACGCTTCGTTGGCAATAAATAATGTTGCTTTAGTGCCACATTTATGCGATGCACACGCGGCGACATTAACAAGGCGATGCCAAAGCGTTACAATATGAAAAGCAATTTCACAGCGGGAAATTCACATGTTTGTTGTTTCTAGATGAAAGGCTGAAAATATTGTTACAACTTGCAGTAAGAATGCTGTTGCCTCGAGCGCAGCTAGTTGACTGAGTAAACAAACAGTTGCCAACAAGTAAACAAGTGGCCAAGAGCAACAGGTGAATCCCCTCCAGCATCTCGCTCCAGGCGCATGTGCAGAAATTCCGGGAGAATGCAGTTATATATAACTACGTGATCTCTTATACCTAAGCTGTAATTTCGTAGTTTTCCAGAAAATGTTATCAAACTATTTTAAAATCAACAAAACCAAAAAAACATATTAACAAAATGTTGTTTTAAATTGGACAACAAATTTGAATATCCGTTTCAAAGCTGCCATACAGATAAAAAGGATAAGCAGATGGCAGCACAAGATATACAAAAGCGCCCTCCAGCGAGCATAAGATTATTTGCTTAGAAACGGTTGCGACAGATGGCGCCACTTACTTCCTATTTGAAAAGGTTCAAACAATTATCAATTTTAAGTTTTACAATTATAAAAATTAAGAAACCATAAAAATACATTGTATTACCTCCCGATTTCATTGACAACATCACAACGTTTGAGAAATTCGCATCGATCTATTCCTTTGTTTAATCCCTGCTCGAGTAAAATCACCTTATAATAATATTTCAAAATCAACAAGCCAAAATGTCGATGTTTTTCAATATGGAGTTTGGATACCTGGAGGCCCTAACGCGGGGCTTCAAGAACGGCATGCTGAAGCACTCGGACTACCTGAACCTCACTCAGTGCGAGTCACTCGAGGATGTGATGATCAGCATCCAGGGAACGGACTACGGCATCATATTTGGCGGTGATATGACCGAACCCTGCGTGGAGGTTATAGAAAGATGCCTGAGGGACCGACTTCTGCAGCAGTACTACTACATACGCAGCCACTCGTCGGAGCCGCTGACCACCTTCATGGAGTACATCCGCTATCCCTTCATGATTGATAACGTGGCGCTTCTGCTCGCTGGCTTGAATAATCATCGGTCCATGAAGCGCCTGTTGAAGATGTGCCATCCGCTGGGATACTTTGACCAGTTGGGTGCCATTGAGGTGGCCACCAACTCCGCGGAGCTCTTCGATGCAGTGCTGATTGACACGCCCATCGCCCAGTTTGTGCCACCCGATTTGCCCATGGAATCGCTGCGTCACATCGATGTGGAGATCGTTAGGGCTCTCCTGTACCGGTCCTATTTGGAGAACTTTTACGAGTACTGCAGCAAGCTGGGTGGAAACACCGCCGATGTGATGACAAACTTGTTGTCCTTCGAGGCGGATCGCCGCACTATCACCATAGCTGTGAATTCAATTGATAGTGATATAAGGTGGGTTTCTTATTTTATTACTGTTGCAAGTATATTTTTATCCACCTACTTTTATCCAGCCAAAAACAACGCTTAAGGATGTTCCCAACCTGTGGCTATTTGCCCAAAATAGCCTTGGCCAGCATGTCCACTTTGAATGAAACGGAAAAAATACGCGACGTGTGCAATGTGTTTGACGGATACGGCAAGATGTTTGACAACTTTGAGCGGGACACCGACGGCATGATTACCCTGGAGGACCGTTTCCTAATGGCCGAGGCCAAAAAGAATGTGCAGACCTTCCTGCAGCAGTTCCACTTCGGGATATTTTACTCGTTTATTAAACTGAAGCAGTTGGAGTGTCGCAATATTATTTGGATAAGCGAATGCATTTCCCAGCGGCAGTATGATAAAGTCAACGCTTATATTCCCATACCTCTTGACTGATTATTGGGTTTTATAATATTTTAATATTATTTTGTTTTATTTCTCAATAACATTTTCTTAAATGGTGAATTCTAAATTATTCAATTTAATAAATATTCAAAATCATTCCAAGATTTAAAAATTATAAAAGGAATTTCGCGTATAAACGGGGTATAAAAGAATTTCGATTATCGAAAGGGCGCCAAAATATCGAGGCTTGAAATAACAACGTTTTTTTTGCTCCTAGCTTAAAACCAATTTTTATTTGGTGAGTGAAAAAGATTTTATCCGGTGATGCCATCTTAGTGAGCAACTGGATTTTTTAGTAGGTTGTTATCGAGCGTTTGTGGCGAAAGCCGTCGCGCCATCTGGCAACACTAACAACGATGTTGGCGAACGAATCGAACAAGCTGCTGCTTTCCTCGCAGCAGGAAAAGCCCAATCACTATACGTAAATACCTCAAAATAGTAGCCTCCTAAAGTTAAAGTGACCTCCTACCTTCCCCCAACCATTTCAGCTACCTGAAGGAGTTCCGCGTGGAGCAGTGCACGTCATTTTTGCAACACAAGTGCAACCAGCATCGCCCCTTCGTCTGCTTCAATTGGCATTTTCAAAACCAGCGTCGGCGTCGCCCCGTGCGAAAACGCGATGGCACTTTCAACTACAGTGCGGATAACTATTGCACCAAATACGATGAAACCACTGGGATTTGTCCCGAGGGCGACGAGTGAGTAGATATCCTGCCATCCAGTAGATATGCAATCCAGATTCTTGACTCCTGATGAAATCGCTGTGGGATGAGACAGCAATAGACAACGACGTAGTATTTTTTCGTTTCCTCTTTGCGCTCTCGTTCCTTCGCGATGTGTGTGTATCTCTTGTCTTCGTGTTTACAAACAAAAACTAAGGTGCGGGTGTGTGCGGGGGCTTGGCGTCGTCTGGAAAGCTAAAAGTGAAATTGTAATTGAGTGTGTGGGTGTGCTGCTGTACATATGTGTGTGTGTAGGCGAGGTCACCACCGTGCAAAAGTGAAAGTGATTGGGCTAGCAAATTCTTATCAGCATCCGTTTTGCCTTTGCGATGGTGGTTGTTGCTCTCTTTCGTGTGTGTATACACACACAAACGCACACTCTCGCCACCTCTACAAGTGTGTGCGTCATTGTTTTTATTGCGTTTCGCTTTTGCGTGTTTTCTTCTTCGTTTATTTTGATTTTCCCCCGGCAGCTTCAAAATGTACAGTTATTGTCACTGGCGAGCTTTGAAGAGAAAAGCTCTCCGAAGCGCAAGAACGGGCTAAAAGTAATACGCAATTACGTTCTGCTCGAAACAACAACAGGCGGAGTTTATGACCCAGACTCGAGGTTTGACCCCTGACCCCTATCTATTTTTATACCCCCGATATTTATAGGGTATAAATGGATACATTGCATTCGTCCAGAAGGGTTTTAAGAAAGAAAGAAAAAAATAACGCATTTTAAAATACAAAGTGTTTGCAGGGTAACTTATTTTAAACCAGTTGGGGACTTAAGTAATGTTATGAATATTTTGAAAAATGTCTTATCAGTTTGTTTAAACTTCGGGAAAGAAAGGAATGCTAATTAAATTCACATATAATAATAGCTTATTTATTTTGTACAGATTTGCCTTATTTCTTTAATGCCGTCTGTTTGCGTCACTAAAACTCTCCCTCTTCCCACAGATGTCCTTTTTTACACCGCACAGCTGGGGACACCGAGAGGCGCTACCACTTGCGCTATTACAAGACATGCATGTGCGTGCACGACACCGACAGCCGTGGCTACTGCGTCAAGAACGGACTGCACTGCGCCTTTGCCCACGGAATGCAGGACCAGCGCCCACCGGTCTACGATATCAAAGAGCTGGAGACCCTGCAGAATGCCGAGAGCACACTTGACAGCACTAACGCTCTGAACGCCCTGGACAAGGAACGCAACCTGATGAACGAGGACCCCAAGTGGCAGGACACCAACTATGTGCTGGCCAACTACAAGACAGAGCCATGCAAGCGTCCACCACGCTTGTGTCGCCAGGGATATGCTTGTCCACAGTACCACAACAGCAAGGACAAGCGTCGTTCTCCAAGGAAATACAAGTACAGGTAAGAGCCATCTTAGCAATATCAAATAAATGCCTTGCCTGACAATAAACTTTCCTCCAGGTCGACTCCTTGTCCAAATGTTAAGCACGGCGAGGAATGGGGCGAACCGGGAAATTGCGAGGCCGGCGACAACTGTCAGTACTGCCACACACGCACCGAGCAGCAGTTCCATCCGGAGATCTACAAGTCGACCAAGTGCAACGATGTCCAACAGGCCGGCTATTGTCCGCGCAGCGTCTTCTGCGCCTTTGCACATGTGGAACGTAAGTCCAGAAGAATCACTATACTAATAGTTAATCCCTAGCTTTCAGCAGCGCTGTGCTCCACAACCAGTTGCCGTAGGGAATTCTGTAGGGCCAAGTTATTATTTTCCTGTTCTAACTCTATGTTTGTCTTTTACTCGCCTCATCAATCAACCCGCAAAACCGTTTCAAAACCTACTGTTTACCTATCGAACTCTTTGAAAACCACTGCATCAATCAATGTTTGCTTCGCCGCTCGGTGTTGCTTGTACATGTTACATTTCCCCAATACAAAATATAAAGCATGCTCAGTGGCCGAGGACAAGATGCGGGATCAAGAGCTGTCCTTAAGCGAGCTTATTTCCAATGCCTTGCCCGACCTCAAGACCCAGGATGTGTTCCAAAGGGGCGACAATGTACGTATAACCGATCCAGTAACACTCATCCAAATCGAAGCTCTCGATGTGCATCGCCTAATCCCAAACATACTACCACCCAACATCGTTTGTCGCGCTAATCCAGCTAACCAACATCAGCTAACAGCTTATCAGTCTATTCTCATCAAAACATTCAATCCTGTGGCCTGCTCTCATTGCGATCCTCCTCTTTTCTTTTCGTTTTGTTCTCTTCGTAGTTGTTGAACATTGATGGTAATAGTACCAATAAAATGTTGGTAGATGCTTTGGAAAACACAACAAATTCCAGCAAATTTTTAAGTTTCTCACGACCGCCGGACAGTCGTTGTGAGTATTCGAGAGTCCTGACATGCGTACACCTAAGTAACACACCAGAACTCACTACTCTAAATGTTGGTTGTGGACAAGATTTGTCAGCGCTAAGACAGCAAACGCCTCGCCCTGTGCCCCACTTGCCTAACTGAAACTCAATTTCTTATTTGTCTTCATTCTTTGCAAGCAGCTTGCTCACTGGATGATCCGCGCGAGAACTCATTGTCGGCGAGTCTGGCCAATACTAGCTTATTAACACGTTCCTCGGCGCCAATTAACATTCCTAATACGACTCTAAGTAACTCAATTAACGGTAAGTTACTAGCTAGCCACGTTTAACAACTAATTATTAATAATGATACTTCATTTTGCGTAGATTTCAACTCAGGTGGCTTCGCCGTCAACATTCCCAGCAGCTCGCTCACATACAGTCCTACCAACCATGCCAATCTCTTCAACGTGGACGCCTTCAACTACGGCGGTTCGAACAAACTTAGCAATTCCCTTTCGGCCACCCAGAACGAGAGCAGTCTCTTCTTTCCGTCGCGCATCATATCGCCCGGCTTTGGCGATGGCTTGTCCATCAGTCCCTCGGTGAGGATATCCGAACTAAATACCATACGCGACGACATCAATAGCAGCTCGGTGGGAAATAGTCTGTTTGAGAACACTCTGAATACGGCTAAAAATGCGTTCAGTCTGCAATCGCTGCAGTCACAAAATAACAGCGACTTGGGACGCATCACCAACGAATTGCTTACGAAGAACGCTCAGATCCACAAGTTAACTGGACGCTGCGAGGACATGGCTTGCAAGCTGAAGATCGCAGAAATGCAGCGGGACAAGGCCAAGCAGGAGTCGCAGGAGTGGAAGGAGCGCTATGACCTAGCTCAGATTCAGCTCAATTTGCCAGCAGAGTTGCGGGACTTGTCCATTCAAAAGCTAAAGCAATTGCAGGTTGGTAGTTAAACAGATTTGCTTTTGTAATGAAATTAAACAGCTGCATTTTAGTCAAAGCTGCGCACCGATCTGGAGGAGGTCGACAAAGTATTATATTTGGAGAACGCCAAGAAGTGCATGAAGTGCGAGGAGAACAACCGCACGGTCACCCTGGAGCCGTGCAACCACCTGTCGATCTGCAATACGTGCGCTGACTCGGTTACCGAGTGCCCATACTGTCAGGTGCCGGTAATTACCACCCACACCTAGAACTTGTTTTATCAGCAACAGGACCACAAGTGGCCCTTTGGCTGAAAATCGGATACGAAAACTGATTTCGATAGAGTGTGGGAGGATCATGGGGATCAAAAGCGCGAACAGCATGACAATGTGGTACTCACAAAGCAAACTTTAGTAATAAGCAAAAAGTTGAAACTTTTGATTGGTTAGGAGTTGCCACATGCCGCTTGTGCATGTGGTGAAGAATATATAATTTATATTTCCACTCTACGCAAATTATGCAAATTATCGTCATGAATATTAGCAATTACTAGGCACAAACTATTAATTGAATTAGATAGCAGCTCTTAACAAATAAGTACATCATTTTATTTTTGTCTATTTTTTTTTCTTAAATCGACTACAGGAAAACTTGAAAAAAGTTTAAATTTTGATTTTTTATACTATATTTTATGTATTCAACATTTTAATTTTGTTTGATATTTTCAATGTTATAGGCATACGTATTTTTGTTTAACCAACTGCACGAATTTGCAATATCTCATTTATTTTTTTTATCCACATATATTTGTGTGTCTCTATATTTGTATTATGCTACACTTTCAGTCATATTGTACTTTTCACTAGTATTACTTAAGAAAAATATGAAAACTAAACCATTACAATGTGTAATTGGTTGAAAGATATGAAAAATATATAATATATTAATTTTTCTAGACACTTTTAGCAATTGACTATTAACAAATTTATAGAAAACAACAAATTGAACAAGTTAATAATCTTTAACAATGTATTGTCGCATAGAAGAGCAGCAAGCAACCACAAACAAACAAAAACCACCAGTGATTTTATAAAAGCCGATTTTCAAACTGTATTTTATATGTATGTGTTTCAAACTTGTGAAAGAAAACAACTAAAAGCCAAGACAAGCGTCATAAAATGTATTTAACTGACAGGTTCATTAATCTTAGTCAGTTCTCTGCTTTTATTTTTTTCCAACTGCACAAAAGTAATTATAGAAACTAAAATGAATTGTAACTGAATGCGGCACTGCTTTTCCTTATCGAAAAGCCAATTTTGTTGAAAACCAAGTTGAATGTATTAAAGCCAAGTACTCAGATCGACGAAATCCAAAGAGGAGCAGAAAGACCTCGTTGACGGACAGGTTTCGACAATCTGAGGGCTAAGGACACTATGCTTTTATTCAGGCTTAGGTGGGGCAATGTTGCTAACTACCAGCCACAAAATTATGTACGCATATACTCTATTAGGTTATTTTGTGATTTATATAGTGCTTTAAGTACTTACTTTGCAGCTGAATTAAATCTTCACTTTACTTTCATAGTCTCAACTGGACGCTTCCAAAGTAGAACAAGAAAACAAAAAGAATCGTCAATGTGAAATCGTATTATTAAGATAAATGAAATCAAGCATTCAGCTGATGGTACAAGAACGAATATGAATAGATATATATTTATGGAAAATTTGAAAGCAGATTTGATGAGTGTGATGTAGAAAGCATAAACAATAAAAGTAATTCGATACAGCGAAATGAACAGAGTTTAATGAAAATGTTAACCCGAGTTAATGTAAAACCGTCTTCAAAAACTATTGTATTTTTTTGCAAAAATAAAGTTATCAAACGTAACCAATTGGTAGCTGTGGACAATGTTGGATGAAACTGAAACGTATTGTTAGCTAGTTGAGTTAAATTGATAAAAAAAAATATAATCGAAACGGGACTGTTTTGAGAATGAATTAAAAATATAACAGCATAGGCATTTATTGAAAACAAAAGCAACACTATGAATGATATACAAAGGAAAAACCAACTATGAAATATATTATATAACAAAGCTAACTAGAAAAGGCAGCGCAAAGGCTTTTATCTCTGTGTGTGTTTGTACTGTGTTTTGTAGAAGCCAAATCATCAAAAGATACAAATTAATAAATATAACAATAACAAATGTGTGTTAACTTATAAATGCTTTAATAGTTTATGACAAAGTGTACACGAAAAAACTAAAAATCACAAGAGCAAGTAATGAGTACATTGGTTTTATAATGGAGCTGTTGAGTCGCAAATCTAGTGTGTGTAATACCAAACTGATCTACATGCATACCTCTCTCAGAATGTCCTTGACTTTCATCGACCGGGCACAGTTTAACAAATTTGCTAATTTACTTTATAAATCTCTACGAGTATACATGGGATATCTATCGACTACGGGTTTTCCAACCGCAATCCAAACCAACCAATGCAAAGCAATTTTTCAACATGTCAAGAAATCCATTTCACGCCATCTCAACTGTGAAAAATCAGAGCAGAAACCAGATCGAAAAGTATATGTACGTTACATACATATATATTTATAGATGACACATGTATTTTGTATACGCTACTGTAAGAGTGATTTTTATGTGATTTTGAAACTACTTGAATATGTGATCCAGAAATATAAAAAAAAAACAAAAAAGAAAAAAAAACAAATATTTATATATAAATGCAAGCTCGCGACAGCAACCAGCAATAAAACAAATCAAATTGTAAACCAACTTGACTTTATGTACAACAACAATGACAACAAGAACGAATGTTGTAAAGCTCCAGCTCCATTTAGAAAACAAAAGGCAAGGCAGGAGATATTAGTTGAGAAAATATGGACACACATAGAATATTTAATAAATTGTCATATACACGTAGACCAGAAGAATCAAACAAAGAAACTAAATGTCTAAAATATCAAATTGAACTAATAGCTAGTTTATAGGGCTCTCAACAAAAGTTTAAACTGAAAAATCACATACGAGTTAAAAAGGAAAGGCAATTACTTCTCTAGCTCTAGAACAAGAACAAATGTTTGCTACCAATTGTTTCAACTAGTTAATCAATAATAAATTAACAAATTGTAGAAAACTGTAACTAAAGGTTTAACATGATTAGTTAACCACGATTAGCAACCAAAAACAAGACAACTCTGAACACCGAACAGGAATTTTAACGATGAAATCGCGGAGACCGAGCAATTTGCAACCGAAAGTACTGTCTAGTATTTTAAACTTGTCTACAACAATTATGAATCAAATAGATTTATGCAATTTTGTGCGAACCAAGCCCACACAGACACACACAATAAGTGAAACACGATAAACTAAGTGGAATCAATATGTATGAAATTATTTTTTTCTAGAATACTACAAATGTGTGTCAAGACCTAAATGAAATAAGCAGAATTTGAAACTTTTACTAGAAATAAACGCTGAACTAGACTCGATACAATTCGACAGCTCTTTGTAAGTTAACTTACACCTAGGTATATAGGTAATATGAAAAATATATGTACTATTTACCCATACAAAATATCTATGAAAATTTTACAAGTAATTCGCGGTTCATGTCCTGGCTTTCCCTTGAGTTATGTTCCCTTTATATATCTCCTTTTTACTTACCTCCGATTATATGGTGTTCGTCGAATGATATTAATACCGATGCGCTGATATTGGTCAGATGCCATAAAGCTCTTGACTTGTAAAGTTTCTTATCGGGGATTAATAGCCGCGGAAATGCGGCCATAGCAGTTTATTTTTATCACTTGCAGTATAATTTAAAGTACCTTCTTCTGATATTATAAAACTTGAAGCCCAAAAACAATATTAGCTTAACGACGTTCGCCTTCATCATTTTGGTTCGTTCTTTTCGTATTGACTCGAGTGTTATGGCTAAAGATATTGAATGAAGGCAATACACATATATATGTAAAAAGGGAAAGATTAAGAAAATCGCGTTGTGTTACTTGACTATCCGAAGGAAAAGACAAAGCTACAAACAATAGACTCCGACAAAAGGACACCCTTCCACATTGTAGACAATGCAACCTTAACAAATCAATTATTTAACTAGTTATGCCCGCAGAGGATACGAATACAAATATTTGAATATTTATATAAATAACATATTACCTATGATAGCATTATCAAATTATTATCAAGCAAATTGTGTAGCAATTTAGTTATGTATTTCAAAAAAATCAAGAACAAATGTTTGTCCAAGGCGACCAGAAAAGCAACAAAAGCATCTGCCTCAATCCGAATATACACACCTCTATATATTTACGAACCTAAGTGTTGGCAATAATCGAGTGGACAGCAGGAGTTTCTATATAGGCATTTGCTAAGGAGAGTTACTACTATGTAAACTATGCAATTAACAAATTGATAAATACAAATTACTATTTAAAAGAAAGATTAATAAAACCGTGTTTAAAGCAAGCCCCCCATCTGAGTTCTTTTCCTAATTTGTTGATGAGAATGCCGCAATTTTTGTGTTCTCCTTCTTTTTTTTTGCAGTCTGCAGACAAGACAAAGCCAAGGCGCTTGGTTCCCATGCGTGATTCCAATCTGGCCCAGCAACCACAACAAAGAGCAGCAGAGAAAAGGGCAATATAAAAGGTAGAGAGCAACATCGGCATCAGCAGCACAAAACTCGTAAGAATTTTAAAATGCACGATAATCGTTCAGTGATAGCTAAGCAAGCCGACAATGCCCGGCTGCCTGCCTGCCCTGCCCTTACACTCGTCGAAAAAATGGGACCACTTTGATTGCACTTCATTTAAACCTATAAGGGGATTTAAATTAAATATCTTCCGTAGAAAACATTCGCCAATAAAACAGCATTGGGACAATTTAAAGGAAATCAATAGTAAGCATAAACAATGTATTTGTATGCTTTCTTGAAAATCTGTTTCTCTGTTTTTAAACTACCAAACATTTTTTATGAATTTCGGAAAGTATTTTATAATTATCAAAAAAGGTACTGCATGCCTTTTTTTGAAAAGTGCATCACCTCATCTCTCCACTGCCACTTTAACCTGAGCCACCGGGGTCCAGGGAGCCAGTTTGAAACAAGGTAGGAGGCTGCCGTTGCCGTTGCTTTTGCTTTTGCTGTTGCTGTTACTGCGATATCGCCGCGTTCGCGCGTTAAACACAAGCGCAACAATTTTTATTCTGTCAGCGAACGCGTGCCTGTATTTGTGTGGTCCCGTCCTCAAACTGGACTGGACGAGGGACCCTGGGCTCCTGCTGCCAGCCAGCCAGCTAGCCTGCCAGCCAGCCAGCCATCCTTGCCGTCTTGTGCCTCCCGTGCCTTCTGATCTTGCGTGGCGATCTCACGCGCTTGCGCCTGCGCCTGCGCATTGTGGCTGGGCACGCTGCATTCGAAACTGGCGGGCATATCGATGTGGGGCCTCTCGGAACTTAGGTAGCTGGCCGGGCTTATAAATAGGCTTTATGAGCGCAAAAGTGTTGCCATTTTTCATGCTGGCAAGAGCACGGAACACGGCCGAGCCAGCCACCATCGCCCCCGAGACTATTTTTAGCTGGACATGTACAAGAGCAGCCGGGGAGGAGATCAGCATCGGCATCAGGATCAGGCTTTCGCCTCGATCTCGATTCGTGTCCATGTTCTGCAGTGTTTCGCACGCTGCACGCTACACGCATTTCCACTCGAAACTTGTTCTTGCCGCTGCCATCGCTTCCCCCGCCGTGATTTGTAACACGATACATTTCGCCGCCGCCGCCGCTGCTGCTGCTGCGGCTGCTGCCGCCGACTTGGAGTAAGGGTGTATTTATATAGGGACCTACGAACCGATCCACGGGTCCCCGCTGCTTCTAATGCATTTTTCAGCTCTTTTGCATCGAGCCCCAGACCGCGATCAGCTCATTAGGCATTTTTAATTTGACAACGCGCGCAATTTATGTGGGAATTTCACGGCGTGTACTTTGACTCATCCAAAGGAATCGAAACGATGCGAAACGAAACGAAACGAAAGACTTAGGCAGCGAACTTGGCGCGCCAGGCTCTGCTCAAAAATCAATTTTCAATTTGCTGCAGTTGGTCGGGATGGCACGGCATGGAATGGGAAGAAACGGAATGGGGCTCGTGTGACTACCTTCGGGGCTGACTGCCGGACAGCCTGACTAACTGACTGAATGACTGACTGGCTGACTGAATGACTGCCCCACGTCCTGCCTGCAACATCCGCAGATCAAAGCGAAGGAGAGCGCAAGGCGACCCCAAAAAGAATGACATGAAGGCTGTCTTATAAGTGGAACATCGAAGCAAAAAATACCCTTTGAAAAGTTTTACATTCCTAGTTTAAAGAAAATACTAATTAATTAATTTTTTTAGTATTTTAAAAAGGAAAAGCATTGCGTACATTTGAGTTTCAAAAAATTAACTTGAGGTGTCATGCTTATCTACGACTTCAAAGAAAAGAATTTTAAAGCATATTTCCTTCTATTTTTGATTGGAATAATACATTTTTGGTTTATCATCAAACCTATATAAATTTAATATATAAGGATCCCTCCAAAACATTTTAAATAATGTGAAGAACATTGTAGTCGTCAACTTTTCCATGAAAATGTACATGCCACTTGAGAGTAGAGTAGCGAAAATCTATTTAACCGGCACAGGCGTTGACGTTGATGTTGGCCCCGACTTAACGAAGTGTTGCTCGCCGGTCCCCGCCACGGCCCCGCCCCCTTTGGTCCCCTTTTAACCCCTGGCTGCCGGCGGCTGTGAGTCCGCGGCAGTGGCTGCATTCCGCGTGCGGTTTTTGTGGCCGGGCGGCATTTGGCCACGAGCGGCGCATAACAAAAAGGGAGTACACTGCCAAAGTATTGGCATTTCGAAATTGAAAAACCCTCGGCCGATAAAAATGTGCAATTTTCTAAGACCCGAAAGCACTCGAGAAGGGAAGAGAGCGCTCAGCTTTCGGGTTTCACCTATGATGTGTTTTTTAGGGGCGGTTGTGTTTGGTCATCAACTTTCCATAATCGGCGCGCAGACAACAAACAACTTGAGCCTTCGACGCGGGCCCGCCCGCTGGGTTCGCCGGCAACAACAATAACAACATTAACAAGAATAACAGCAACAACAAGAGCAACAAGCGCCACTTTGCTGTCAATTCAAAATGATAAAGCAAACAAATATTAACCCACTCCAAGTGGACGCATGTGGCTGCCGTCTCATGGCACTTTCTGACAGCCCAGCGACACTCGAGTCGATCCGGGGATCTGTCGGAGTCGGACTGGGGACTTCGACTGGGACTGGGACTGCGACTTGGACTGGGACTCTCGCGACTGTGGGAATGTGCCAGAGCCGCCGTCTCCCCACATTCGGAAAGACACTCGCATTGCCACGGCTTAAATGCCGTGTTCCCGGCCATAATGACTTTTAATTTTTATGGCACTGGCTGCCGAGGATGCCGATGCAGCAACAACAACACCAATAGCAAAGGCAACGGCAGCAGTGGAGCTTAAGTCGCATATAATTCAAGTCCATCAACGCATGCGCTTCACTTGACCACCGCCATGATACACATTTAAATACGAGGGAAATCGCCCTCCCCTCGAGAAGATCCGTTCCCCCTTGGCTGTCGCCTGTACGGCCACTTGAGAGGGCATCCATGTGACTCGTCTGCGTCTGGATCGCACTGGATCTAGCTCCTCCAACTCCTCGAATGTGGATCTTCAGATGCACGCTGCTCGATGCTTGCTGTTCGGTACTCGATACTCGAGAGGGCAACAACGGCTCAGCGTTGTTTAATATTTTAAGTAAGTGCTGCCGCTTGGCTTTGCGGTGAGCATGGGAGAAGCTCTAAGGGACTCCTATGATGAGGTGCAATTTGTTGAGAACAAGATAGGAGAGGGGATCTTCAAAACAAAGTGGATTATCCCCTTTAAGGATTGCTTTTATGAAGAGTTTAACTAATGAAGAATATTCTTTAAGAGTCACATTATTTCAACATTTTTAACTACTTTGCAAAAAAAAAATAAATAAATATATCAAACCTTTAAATTTAATGTAATTTAATGGCCTTGATTACCTTATGGCCCATTTAATTCCAAGAACTAGAGGCCAGTTATCATAGTTGAATTTTTGAATTTCCAGCGAATAAGTGACATATGTTTCCATATCTGCCGACATTTGATTTGTGTACTGATTTGGCAGGAACATTCGGTGCATTTAGCTGCATTTTTGTGGTTTGTCTCGTGCAAAAACTGTTGGCCAAATATGCGCCGCATGTGGCCGAGATGTCTTTCCTGTTCGGGCCTCCTTTGGGCCAACGGTCGCTGCTTACTCACCGTGATCTCGACCGTTCGACTGCTGTTTAAACCGCATCGATCGCTGCCAGCTGATAGGACAATGGACCCACTGCACAATGATAACTATGCCGCTTACGACTTTTTGACTCTCGTGCCGGCCAGGATCAAAAGGAGCCCGGTTGACAAATGTTTGTACACACACAAACACACACATAGAGAATATACCCAGGCTGGTAGAGTGTTACTGAGACCCTTTTTATGCCCAGTTACTGGGACTCTGGCTGTGAATGTTTATGTTACAAGCCCCTGGCCCCTGCCCCTTTTGCTCCTGGGCCCATTCAGTGGCTGTTCGTCGCCTTTGTGGTGGCAAATTCCCCGGAACACCGGAGGCACATCCATCCATTTGCCTAATTTCTATCTCGGCAGCAATTCCCCAATGGCATTTCACTTAGATTTATGTGAATTAAACAGCCAAATCCAACACCAAAAACCAAAACCAAAACCAAGTCCGTGTCCCAGTCGCAGTCGCAGTCCCTGGTAGCCGTAAATGTCAACATCCATTAGAGACCTCAAACCGTTAGTGGCATTTGTCGCACGCTATGAGGCCAACAGAAAACCGCCGCAGTCACAACAAGAGTCCCAAAACTCGCAGCATGATTGAGTGCCTGCTTCTCGGAATCAAATCGGAATCACCATTGGCTTGATATGAGAACTGGCAACGTGATCGTTGGCTGGATCGCTTTGGTCTGCTGTGTGGCATCCGAACCCCTTTTTATCCGGCATCTAAAAGTGACCATAAAGAATACAAATATTCTCGTAAATATTAGTTAGTATCAGTTATTAAATTACCGCGACCTTCACAACAGATAATCAAGCAAACCGGTGCGACGGGCCAAAGCACGCGTTATGGCCATTATTATTTGTTAATTATGTGGCCGCTCATGAGTCGCTCTAATGCCGAAGCCGCGAGACTTGTGCAGCCAAAACAAAAGACTTTGGCAACAAACTTGCCGGTTTGAGTCAGCTATGCGACCATAAAGCACTTCTGAAATTCAATGAACCCCAAGCGAGAGCGGAATAGTTGGGTAATTAGCAAATATCGACCATAAGACACTCTATAAAAAAAATCTATAAAATGTTGGGATAAGAAAATGAGCAACAAGTTTAT